TCGTTCTCTGGAAAAATCATGGAGCAGATCCCCAAGGCTAACAACCTCCTGGGCTGCATGGGTAGGAGCGTTGCCAGCAGATCGAGGGCAGTGATTCTTCCCCTTTATTCAGCACCGGGGAGGACACATCTGGAGTCCGGTGTCCAGTCGTGGGCCCCCACTGCAGAAAGGAAGTGGACACATTGGAGAGAGTCCAGTGCAGAGCAATGAAAATGGTTGGGGGCTGGGAGACAGGACTTGTGAAGCGAAGCTAAGGGACCTGGGCTTGTTTGGTCTGCAGAAGAGAAAACCAAGAGGGGATTTGATAGCAGCCTTCAGCTCCCTGAAGGGGGTTCAAAAGAGGATGGAGCTGGACTGGTCTCAGTGGGGGCAGATGACAGAACAAGGAGCAATGGGCTCAAGCTGCAGCAAGGGAAGTTGAGGTTGGATATTCGGAAAAACTCTCTCACGAGGAGGGTGGTGAAGCACTGGGACAGGCTCCCCAGAGAGGTGGTGGGATCTCCATCCTTGGAGGTGTTGAAGACCCGGGTAGACAAAGCCCTGGCTGGGATGCTATAACTGGGGCTGGTCCTGCTTTAAGCAGGGGGTTGGACTAGATGTGACCTCCTGAGCTCCCTTCCAGCCCTCATTTTCCATGATTTCTAAGGAAGGAGACAGATTTCCCACCTCCCTTTCTGCGGGTTTCCTGAGCTGGGCGCTGGGCTCCTGGCCCTGGTTCCTGCCTCTGGCTATTTTTCAGCTTGGGCCCACCATGGTAGGCTTGAGCCTCTCCGTGCCTCTCTGGCATGACTGGGACCCCAAGCTTCCCCTGCTAGTCCCTTTCTGGTCCTCCAAAGAGAAAACAAGAAAACCCGGTTCCCGCATGAATGCCACACGTGCACACCTTGGGACGCGGAAGGAAAATGGTACATATCTTTACCTCACACAACCCTGTGTCGAGCAGTCCTACAGCCAGTTTCCTAGGGCAGATGAAGCCCACCCCAGTAACCCACCCCTGGGTCCTCACTGCACTGCCCCCCGCTCCCGGGCTTCCTCAGCCCGCTGTCTCTCCCCCTCCTTGTGGGAGGCCTCAGTTCCTCCCAGGACTTTGCCCCACCACTGTGCACCCTCGCTGTCCCTTCCCTTTCTCTGCTGCCTCCCCGAGCAAGCCCGTACCTGGCTCTGCCCATTGGCACTCCTGGCCTCCAGCGCTCAGCAGCTCCTTCCTCCCCCTGCCTCCTGCTCTCTGGCTACCATTTCTTACCTCGCCACCTGTCCAGGGCTGCTTCAATGAGTCTCATCCTGGTTTGTACCAGGAGCCTCCGTGTCCCTGTTGCAGTCCCACGTGCGGGGCTGGCTGCGCGAGGGAGAATGCACCGACTGCTGCACGTGTACTGCAGCGGGGCCAGGAAAGGGATCGCGCCCACGGGAGGCCAAGAGCCAGGGCCCGGCCCAGGCAGGGGAACAGCTGCGGTGTGACCGGAGTGGCAAGGGAGGGGTGCTGACAACAGGCGGAGCACGGGGAAGCTCGGGCAGGGAATGAGCTGCGGCTGTCTCCAAAGTGTTTCTGGCCCGGAGAGACAGGTTCTCGATCCCGTCCCCCCGGCAGGGCATCAGTTGGACCCGGTTCCCCAGTCCCACCAAGCCCCGGGCTTCGTGTCTGCCTAGAGCACAGTCTGCGGGTCCACAAACCTCTTATCGAAAGCGACTGGTTCTTGGTTCCTGGGGAGCTTGTTCTGCTAATGAACAGCACTCGCTGCTGCAAATGTGTCTGACATCCGGGGTGAATTTACAAGCGACTCCAACCCCGTGTGAAATGGGCACGCTGCCACCCGGAGAGTGAGCAGCGGAGTGTGAGCAGCACGGGGACTCACAGGCACACAAGCAGGCAGGTTTTTCATTGTAAACGATTTATCTGGCATCCAGGGCCAAGTGGTCACACAGATCGAAGCCCGGCTGGGCCGCGGGCTGAAAGCACTGGAGGTGGGCAGGGGCTGATGGCACCAATCACTGTCTCCACGTGGAGTGAGAGTAGAAGCGGGCAGGGGCGGGGTGTGTGGAGCCAGGGTGCAGAGATGAGACTGGGGAACCGGGTCCACCTGATGCCCTGCCATGGGCATGAAGTGAGGAGGCGCAGTCGGAGCCTGCAAGATGCTCCCACTCCTTACGACTGAAGCCGAGTGAAGTTGTTGGTGCCGACCCTGTGGGGAAGGAAAGGCACAGAGCTGCTGCGATTTCCCATGGGGGCTGCACGCCAGCCCTGCCAGCTCCCAGCACGGACACGGGGCAGCCGCCCAGCCCTGCCCTTGCCCATATCCGACCTGCTGCGGGTGCCCGCGTGCCATGGCTCAGCAGGTCCGGGCACTCTGTTGTGGGGCAGGCGGGACACCTGCGGCTGCACAGGGAGCAGCTGCTGGTGCCAGGAGCGCAGCAGAAAGAAGCCGCACCGTGGAGGGGCTGCCCCGGCGAGGCGCGGCTCCCCTGCCCTGTGCCTCCCACCCCCAGGGCCCGGCGGAGCAGACACAGTGCTGCTGAAGCAGTGCCGAGCGCAGCACCCTGGCCCCTGCAGTGCAGCCCCGGGTTGTGCAGGGGTTGCTCCTGGCTCTGGCTGCAAGAGTTGTGAGGGGTGCGGGCCCAGGGGCTCTGCCAGGCTCCTTCCCCATCCCCATCCCCATCCCCATCCCCTCCTTGTGCTCCTGCCCACGCGGCTCAGGGCAGGGGCAGGAGGGGACCACGGCAGCACCACATCCATCTGCTCTGGGCGAGGACCCTTCCCACCCCTCCCTTTCCCCCAAACCATGGTCCCTGGGATCCCTGCCCAGGGCGGGCCCTGCTGCTCACAGGGTCGCTTGCCAGTTGTCCTCGATGGAGTCGACCTCCTTCCGCAGCAGCCACATGGTCTGCAGAGTCTCCTTCCCTTTGTCGTCCACGAAGCACTGGCCCACGAAGACGGTGGTCGAGTCTGTGGGCAGGCAGAGGTTGGGACGAGAGCCGATGCTGCCGCAGCTGAGACCGTGGCATCCCAAGACCCGGACAGACAGCATCCAGGGTGGGTGTGAGTGGGAGGGCAGGGAAGGGGCTGTGGAGCAGTGGGGCACGGACCGCTGGAACTGGGTGAGCTGGTGGCAGGGCTGATCTGCCGAGGTGCCCATGACAGCAGGGACTGGACTGGACTGGACTGGACTGGACCAGAGACTGTGGGGTCCTGCCAGCCTGGCCACCGCGGCACGGCACCAAGAGCGGGGCAGCGGCATGGCGGGAGAGGGCCCTGGGCAGGGAGGGGACTGCTGGGTGCGCCGCTGGGGCTGGGGCTGGTGCCAGGCACGGGGCAGTTGGCACAGGGAAGAGGAGCTGAAAGGGGCAATCTGGGGACAGGGGGAGCGGAGGCAGGAGCTGGGTGCTGCCCAGGGTGGGTGGATGGACCCCCCCCTTTGCACTGGCACGGGCTGCCCCGGCCTCCCCACCCCACCGCACATGGCGCCACGTACCGGTGAACGACCAGGTGACGGTGAACCCGAACGTCGGCTGCTTCACGTTTCCCATCTGCTGGCTGCCCCTCAGGGGGGACACAGCAATTGGTTTGTGTGTGGCGGAGACTTTGGTGAGGTACGTGCCGAAGAATTTCCCAGCGTTGTTCCCAGCTGAGATGTTCATTTCCGAGCCCAAGTCGTTCTGCCACCGCCCGAGCAGGGAGCACTGCGGAGGAGGGCTGCGGTCAGCAGAGGGTCCGGCCCCTGAGCGAGGGCATCGCCCCAGTGCTGCAGACCAGCCCAGAAACCAGGAGACAGAGGACGAGGGTCCTGAGCTGTGCAGGGAAGCGCCTGCTGGCTGTACTCTGTTCCCTGGGTCTGTCCCATGTCAGACAGCCCCAAATCTGTGCAGTCGCCTCCACAGACATGAAGCTGCTGAGGAGGGGACAGGCGAAGGACTAAGGACACTGCTCTGACGGAGCCTCTGCCCGGCTGGTCCCGAGACTCAGGCAGCTCACAATGGGCAGGGAAGGGCGTGGGGGGCTGGAGAACCTCCCAGTGCGCTGGTTTGGGCAGCGCACCCCTTTGCAGACCTAGGTCTGGCAGATCCCACCAGGCCTCCTGCATGGTCAGCCCATTGCCAGACCCGTCGCATGGTCCCGCACGCTGCTGAAACACTCTAGGCTTGTGCCCGAGATGTCTGTGGTGCCCCAACCTTGCCACGGTCACAGCCACGGGGCATCCTAGCCTACCTGTTGGGAGTCCTTCACGCTGAGGTCACACACCCCAGAGCCATCGCTGCGTTTGCCCATCAGGGAGACAGTGTCCCTGCCCGGGCAGCCAGCGGCTCAGCCGGGGTCTCCGGGGCACAGGTCCTGTGGTACCCTAGATCAGAGCCCCTGTAGAGGGGCAGGTCCCAGCCCCTTCCCCTCCCCACTCACAGCCCTGCCAGGCCCCACCACCCTCTGCTCTGGACTTCAACCCCTAGGATCCCCCAACAGTGCATGCCGCAGCATCTCAAGACAGTGCAGAGGAAGCGTGAAACCCCTGTTGCCACCAGCGCTGCACCTGCCTGCTGAGTACCTTCCAATTTAAAGGGATGCCAAGGGTCACCCCAGCCAGGACAAGGACCATGATGAAGCTGATGCTCTGCATCATCGCTGGGAGCTGGAGCTGCTGGTGGGTTTGGTGAGTCTCTGCAGCAGGGACTTGTGCCTGGGATCTCTGCATGACCCCTTTTACACCCCTGCCAAGAGGATGTGACATGGGCAGTTCCCCTTACTGGAAGTCCATGGAGGGGTCACTCACGGTTGCTCTCACTTTCTCTATGACTGTCCTTGCTATTATCTTGCTGCTCAGAAACAGCTGCCAGGCAGCAAAAGGGACCTGTGACCAAGTGCAAGATGTCCACATAGGGAGAGATCCCCAGCCAGGGAGAAGCTCAGTAACTTGTGCCCCACTTGCAACAGGACCCCTGGGCCCAGCAGAGCATGGCAGGCAGGGCACAGACACACTGTGGGTCAGAGAAGAGATACGAGACAGGTTGGCAGCCTTGTCTTTTATTACTCCCCCTGAATGACAACACGTGCATGTATCTCAGCGCCCACCGGGCCCACAGCAGCACAGAGCAGCTCCTCCCCGGTGCCGGCTGGGGAGAAGCAGGAGAGAGGGGGCAGCAGCTCTGCGTGTGCCGGACCAGCTCCCAGCGCTGCCCCGGCTTCTCCCCACATGTACACGGGGCTTCCTTTGGTCATCCGGGAACAATCTCTGCCAGGTCTGCACAGGACTCTTTCTTCTCTCCTTCCAGCCCGTGTCTTTCACCTTGATTTATGGTCCTCACAGTCAAGGCGGCTCATTAACAACTTACCTACAAGCCTTGTGTGCAGACGTCTCTGTTCCAGCACATCCACAGCCCAGGCACTTAGTGGCACCACTCAGTGCTCCTAGAGTCTTCAAGCTAAAGCTTGGACAGGTGCACTGCCCAAGCCCACAGTGCAAGGTAGCACTGTTGCTCACCATGCTGAATGCACAGCTGGCAGCCAGACGTGGAGCCAGTGCAGAGCCCAGGCTGATGGGATGGCGTGGGAGGGGGTCTGCACCCCCAGTACAGGCGAAGGTGGAGTCTGCACAGGGAAGAGCCCTGGGGCTGGGATACGTGCACATGGGGACGGATGGCCCTTCACGCCCCACTGAGCCCCAGAGCCGTGCCTGCCCCGCTCACCTGGCTGCTTTCCAGTCGTCCTTCTCGGAGTTGACTTCCTCCCTCAGCAGCCACATGGTGCGCAGCGATTCCTCCCTGCTCTTGTCCACGAAGCACTGGCCCCCGAAGACGGTGGTCGAGGCTGTGGGCAGTGGGCGTGTGAGCGCTGTGGGCCCCGCCGTGGGCTCTGGCTCCCTACCCACACTATCCATGCTGGCCAGGCACGTGGCTGCCAGCTAGCCACGCATGTCCGCAGGGGCCACTGTTGTCACCCCAGGTGCGCCCGGGCCAAGGATCAGGCTGCGGCCGGCCCTAGCAATGGGGATGGATTGTGGGGAGGGTGGGAGGTGGGCAGGTGATGTGGGGCCATCCTGGTACATCCTGGCTGTTCCCAGGCCTCTCCTGCTGTTCCAGGCCAGGGCAGAGGGTTGCAGCCCAGTGCCCCAGGGGTGGGCAACAGGGAAGGGGAGAGGGTCTCCTGCAAGGGCAGCCAGTGGCTGAGTGCAGGGGAGAGGGCAGAGGCCAGGGCGGGGCGGCAGGGGGGGGAATGGGGGGGAGGAGAGAGCAGACGAGGGGCAGGGCTGGGGCTCCCCGCCTCCGCCAGGGTCTGCAGCTGCCAGGCACGCACCTGAGAAGCTCTTCCAGTTGACGGTGAAGCTGAAGGTGGGCTGCTGCCCCTCACCATGCAGCTGCTGGGACCCACACAGCAGTGCGGGCTGGATGGGCACCTGTGTGGCCGACACGGCCGTCCTGTACTTGCCGGAGAAGCTGCCGTCTACTTCCACATGAAAGATGCGCATCTGGGAGCCCAGCTCGTTCTGCCACTGCCCGGACAGGACGCACTGCGTGGGAGCACATGGGTCAGTACAGGGCACACGCGGCACCCACAGGAGAGGCCACCCTGCCCACTGCCCCAGGCCCCGTGTCCAGCAGGACGAGGCAGGGGCAGGTGCCCATGCTGGACCCGCGCCCCCCGTGCAGCCACCTAAAGCAGGGTGCTCCGTGGCACCAGCTGCAGGACGGCTCTGCCGGAAACGTCCAGGCTTGCGGCCCAAGGCGGTGAAGGGAGGCCAGACCGGCGAGGCGCTGCACCCAGGAGGGCAGGGATAGCTGACCTTTCAGGGCCTTGCTGGTGGCTTTGGCCCTGGGCTCCCTTCTCACCTGGCAGTCGCATTTTTGGCCGGCTCCTGCCCCGCACAGAGGTTTCCACCCCCTCGGCAAAGTGACTTCTAAAAGAGCAGAAGAAAGCCTGGCTGCTTCCCTGGGTCAGCAGAAGCCATGAAGCACGACCCAGACCTTTTTTTTATTTTTCAAGACATTTTTTGTGTTCCCAGCTGTGGTATAAAACAAGTAAAGGCGTTGAACTTTGATAAAAAAAAAAAGGTTGTAAAGATAAAACAAAAGGCGTTGTGTAAAAGTGCAGACTAGGAAAAGAGGAAGAATGTCTGGCCTTGTAGTAATCAGCAGTTACTGAGACAGCAAGAAAAACGTGTTTTGTAATAAAGAAATGAAAATAATGTTTTTGTAACTGTTACTGCAGCTAGGTTTCTAAACATTTCACTATATGTTCACGTGAATTGTAGGTGGCTGTTGAAAAGGTATATAAGCCTTTTGCTTTAACGTTTAGGCAGGGAGCCCCCTCCAAGTGCATGGTGATCCATGTCACTTTGGGGCCCCCCCCACAGCTGTAGCTCTATCCAAATAAAGCTCCTGCTGACCTGACCCAAAAGTTTGCTGCGTGTGTTTTCCACGACACAGCCAAGTCAAGTCCAAATCCGTGAGTCAGTCCAGGACCATAAGTGGCCCTACAACTGGCAAAAATCCTCCACCCCCCCAGGGCCTTCAGATACTTGCAAAGTCTTTTGGTGGGCGTCCTACACTTGAGCCCAAGCCCAAAGGCTTGGGGTTCAGATGCCCCCGAGTTTCACCTGCCCTCAGCCGTAGGGCCGCAAGAGCAAGCTAGGGGGGGCCTCCCATGTCCATAAAGCGGGCTTCAGGCCCTAATACCTTGGCAAGTACTAAACCATGCCAGAACAGTTATCCCTGAGCACGCTTAAGGAAAACTGCCTTCATGGACCAGATACATGGTGTTTCCCGGCAACCTGACCCGCCAGGGCAAGCACCTGGTCCCCTGCCCTGGGCACCACCACCGCACCTTGCTCCACGATGCCACCCCCAGCAACGCTGGGCTCAGGGCCAGGGCCAGCGGGAGGTGGATTTCCCTCTCTATTTCTCCAGCGTCTGCAGATGTCAGACGTGCCACCTGGTCCTGCTGCAGCAAAGGGGCGGCTCCGTCCTTCTCGCCTACTCGGGGCAGCTGGGCTGCGGGGGAAGGAGCAGTTCCCGAAACTGAAGTGTCCGACGCCTCACTGCGCTGCTGCCCACATCCTGGATACCGAGGGCCTGGTGTCAACAATGAAAGCGATAGGGAGAAGGGCAGGGCAGGGCGACTCTCTGGAGACAGGAGCAGGGTGGTGCCGGGTCTGCGTCTGGCGGCTCTGTTCACCTGTTGCCCTTTGCCCGCAGGCAGAGGAGGACCTGGGATGGGGACATCACCCGCTTTGCGTCCTGCTCCATCCAAACTTTAAACACAGCTGCTGGGAGCAGCACCTGAGCACCCGACGGGCACTAACGACTCTCCCTCCTTTTCAAAGGGCTTTGTGGTCCGTTCATGCCACTCTCCTCCTTTCTGTGCATATAGCAGGTGTCGCTGTGTATTTCCTAGCCCTGCCAGCTGCTTCCAGCTCATGCTGAAAGCCCTGACCCTGGTGTGGTCATTTTAACTCAAGCGACGGTGAACTCCGGTGCAGAGACTGGGTGCCGGGCTGGATGCTCACGAGGGCGAGATTTTGTATGAGAAATCTGAGTAAGAGGAGTGCACTAAACTGGTCTAATGGCAACATCCTCTGACTATCTGTCCAGCTGGTTGCGCTTTCTAAACTTAACATATAATCCAGCCCATTTGTGCACATGCCATCAATACTGCATTTTGCTTTGCTTTGATCTTAAACTGGATAACATAGTGCTGGACCTGCCCCCCCCCCCCAAAAAAAAACAAACAAACAAACAACCTGTGTCATATTGCTGCAGCACATCAGCTAAGAACAAGTGGTGTCCAAGAAACTTGATCTCCTGGGGGACGGTGCCCAAGAAGGCATGCTGTGGATCAAGGGCCTGATGTGGGCATCGTGTACCTGGACTTCAGGAAGGCTTTGGACAGAGTCCCACATGACCTTCTCATTCACGAACTGGAGAAATGTGGGTGGGACACAGGTCCTGTAAGGGGGAGAGATGACTGGCTCAGTGGCTGCCAGCAAAGGGCAGTTCTGTCTGGGCCCATGTCAGGATGGCGGGAGGCTTCGAGTGGAGCCCCACAGGGGCTGCTCATCCTGTGTATTGATGATGTGGACACTGGCACAGAAAGCTTCTGGAGCAAGTTTGTGTAGGGCACAGCAGGGCACGGGGAAGGGCTGTGAACACGCTGGAGGACAGAACACAACGTAGACGGATCTCGACAGACGGGAAACTTGGGCTGGAGCTGACAGGATGTGGTCCAGCGCCTCTGGCAGCGCTTGGAAGCAGAGGCAGGGCCAGGTGGAGCCGGGGGAGCTGCTCATCACCGAGCAGGTGTGGAGTGGGGCCAGGCAAGAGCAAGATGCCAGGGGCAGGGCTCAGCCCTCCCTGGAGGACAGCATCGAGGTCCTGTCTCTCTGGGCCGTAAACGCTGTGGACGCGGCCACAGTTGGTTCCCACCTGGAGCTTCCCCGCGCTCCACCTGCTGCCGGCATCCCACTGCTGCCACCCCTTCCAGACCTGGCTGTTCCCTTGCCTGGGCCAGGCCCGACTCTTGACCTCCCGTGGGCACAATCCCCATCCTGGGCCTGCTGCGGTACACGTGCTGAAGCCAATGCATTGTCCCCCATGCAGGCAGCCCCACACGTGCCCCCTGCTCCCTGGGTCCCACGCTGCCCTTCTGTCTCCCCTCAGCTGCTCCAAGGCAGTCCCCTGCTCAAGGCCCATCTCAGCCACCTGATCCCACCCCTCACACCCTCCAGCCAGCCCAAGGCTGACCTTGCCCCAGGAGCCTCAGCACCAGCCTCCAGCCCTCCCACCCCGCCATGCCACCCTGGGCCTCTGCCACCTGACTCCAGCCTCCAGCCCTGGCAGGAAGGCACTGCCCTGCCCTGCACTGGCTGCACCAGCCTGCCGTGGATGGCCCCTCTGCCCAGCAGCTCTACCAGCCCCTCTGTCTCAAGAAGCTCCTGGGACCAGAACTGTCCCTGCCTGTCGCCTGCGGGCTGTGTAAGGGGCTGTACAGAGGGGAAGAGCCACCTCCGCGCCCCCCGTCACTGCAAGTCCTCTGCAGGAAGCCCCTGGGGGATAGGCCGGGACTGCTCTCACGCCTGCAGAAAGTGCTGTGGGGAAACACTGAGGATTGCCTCTGTGAGCCCTGCGTGGGAGAGGCTGTGTCACGGGGAGCGGGTCTCACAGGGCGGTGCAAGGGTGCATCACGTCCAGGTCATGGCAGAGGCTGCCCAGCAGTGCACAGCCCGGCCTGGGGTGCAAGGAAAGGGGCATGTTGCTGCGTGCTGCAGAGACAGGTTGCTGCAGTGCGGTGGGGGTGCCTGCCTCCCACATGTCATGGTGCAGTGCGAGCGCCTGCCCAAGGTCACAGGGCAGCTGTGCTGTGCTGTGCATGGAGGGGCTGCCTTGGCGCTTTCAGCACAGGCCCCCCATGCAATGAGCCTTTGGGACCCCGCTCAGCCCGGCCCCTCGCTCAGCACGCTGCAGGCACTTGCTGCCCCTGCACCAAGGCTAAGACCAGCGCTGGTCCGGCCCCTTCCCGGCATGGGTCCTCCCAGAGAGCACCGGGGGAGAGGCTGACCTGGGGAAAGGTGGCCGGTGTGGGGACAATCACAGCCTGGGGCAGCATGGACACAGCCTGGCCCCTCGCACACAAGGCACCCTTATGCATCTCTACACCAGAGTTCACCTTTGCCTGAGTTAAAATAACATTCCTGAGCCGGGGCTGTCAGCTAGGACTGGAAGCAGTCAGCAGGGCTGTTAAACAAGAGGAATTACAAGACATGACTAATAAACAACTTCAGGAACTACTTTGTCTCCTGTGACACCAGGCACCCGGTTTTCAGCACCACTGCAGCAGCTGCGAGAGGCATCCGGCTGGAAAGGGCTCAGCCCACTTGTGGCAGCTGCTCCTTCCCCGCAGCCCAGCTGCCCGAGCCAGCGAGCCAGCAAGCGAGCGGGGAGGACGGAGCCGCCTCTCTGCTGCAGCAGGACCCGGCAGCACGGCTGACACCTGCAGATGTTACCACAGAAAGAAAACAGCCAAAGTGCGCTTTGGGCCAGACAAGACTCCAGGCAGAGGTGCCGAAGAGGCACGGTGTGGGGTGGCCCACGGAGGATTTCCAGCCAGGATCCCATCCGAAAACCAGTTTCTTATTCGAGGCATTATACTTAGTGCAGTGGCCGGGTGGGGGAGAGGACTCGGGGAGGAGGCAGCCTGGCAGGTCCAAGCCACGTTTTAGGCCGGGCAGGGCTGCACTCAGGGGGCTTCAGGACAGTTCCCCCGGTAGCGTCGACAGAGCGTTTGGGGGGCCCCAAAAAGTATTTTGCCCCCATAATTCCATCCTCATCTGATCTTCGTTTAGGGCACTGTACTTGATACAGGATATTGTTTTACATATTAATTAGTAAATATGCATAGATAATTCAATTCTTTATCTGCTGAACATGTCATTCATGAATAACAAGCTTTTCTTGGGTGTAGGTTAAGGAGTAAGGAAGCAACTTCAGTTCATCCCCTGCAGTGGATGGTTTGGGCTGTGCCCCGGCAGGACTCCTGGGGCCTGAGCCCAGCTCACAAGCACCGTCTCCCCCCGCACTGCGCAGGGACCCTGCAGCACCCTGCGGGCTGTGCCACAGCCCATTGCACCTGTCGCTGCGCAGGACTGGCCGCTGCACACAGACATTGCATCTGGAAGTGCCGCAGGAAGCTGCTGCGATGGTGGCGTCAGGCTCCCAGCTGCTGCTCCTGCTGCTGCTCCTGGGCGCTGCGGCCGTCCCAGGAGCCAGCGCCGGTAAGTGGCGATCACTGTAGCTGGCCCGGGGGTGGGACAGAGCCGAGCCCTGATGCAGAGTCCTGCTCTGCTCCACGTGTGGAGGCTAGGCTGTGGGGTCCCAGTGATTTCCGAGCAGTGGGACCAGACCGATGCCGAGAGGGGCTGAGCCCAGGCCCTGGTTGCGGGTCCCTGGTGCGGACTCGGGCGCACGAGGGCTCCCCCGGAGCAGGGTAGGCCGAGTGTCTGGACTGTGCGGGGCCCATGCCTGGGACGGGGTGTGTGGGGAGCACGACCGGGCTGTGGGACATGGTGTGTGGCCCCTCCAGGCCAGGCCTGTGCCCTGCGGGGTCAGTCCCGTCCCTGCTCCCCAGCCCCTGCCCTGCACCCAGCCGGCTCTGCCCTGTCCTGGTGGCCCCACCGCCCCCTCGCTCTGTGCCCCCACTCCCGCCTGGCGCAGCCCCGTGTCCATCCTCTGCAGCCCCTCCGGGAGGGGGCAGCAAGCACCCGCGGGCACTGGCATCTGCCCCCGCTGGTGCTGACCCGTCACTCCTGCAGGCTGCCACTCCTACCGGCATTTCTACACGGGGGTGACAGATCCTGGCTGGGACGTGCCTGACTTCACTGCCATGGGCTATGTGGATGACCAGCATATTCTCCACTACGACAGCGAGACACAGAGACAGGAGCCACGCGGGGACTGGGTGCAGGGGGCCGTCGGCCCCTACTTCGGGGACACAGAAACCATGCGCTTGCGGGGCTGGCAGGACAGATTTAAGCGGAACCTGCTCACGCTGCGGCATCGCTACAACCAGACCAGGGGCGAGTGTGAGCAGGCAGGTGTGGGCAGGAGGCCGAGGGGCCTTGGGGACTGGGTGACTGATGAGGGCATCGGGGAAGCACCTGCCCATTAGCAGCTCGGGGTGGGGAGTTGGGAGAGCGTTGCATTGTCTCGTGTCTGGTCTGTGTGTCCCTGCTGCCAGCTCCGCCCTGCAGTTGCCTTGGGCAGGGGCTGGGGTGCAGGCGCCTTGTAGCTTGTAGCTGCAGTCTCAGTCTCCAGCCAAGAGGTCAGGGGGCTGCGGGAGCAGCACTCTCCCCCTCCCATGCATGTGGTGTCAGCAGCATCCCCTGGCCTGTGCCCAGCAGACCGAGGCTCTGGTGATTCCCTGGCCTGGCAGGTCAGCGCCTCGGTGCCTGTTACACAGACCCCCTCCACCCCTCCCACCCGGGCTGTCTGTCTCCTGCAGCAGGATCCCAGCCCTTGTCCCCGGGTGGGAGCCCCCAGGCCAATGCGTGGAGGGAAACCTCGTGAGCCCGATAGCAATGGGAACAGCTGTTCTCTGCCCTGCCATGAATCAGTGCACAGCTCCCCAGCTCACGCCCTGTCCTGTTGTCCGGAGCTCCCTGAGCCCTGCCCAGAGCATCTCAGGGTCACGGACAGGTGAGCTGTGGTTGAGGTTGGCCCTTCTGGCCTCCAGACCCTGCTCGGCCTTCCTGAGAAGGGTCAGCCAGGGGCTGTCACTGCCCTGCCATGTGCCACCAGGGCCATGCTGCCAACTCCGACATGCACCAGAGACGGGTGCCCAGGGCAGCTGGCTGCAGGGCTCTGTGTCACCAGCCTGGGCAGCTGGATCTCCTGGGATGGGGTGCAAGAAGCTGGTGTGACTGGTGCCGTCAGTGAGGGCAAGGGTTGCAGCTCCCGTTCCTGGGGGTCCCGTCTGCGCTTCTGCCCAGCCCAGCCCCCTTCCCACCCTGCCTGCTGCTCCCTACAGAGCCGGCTCTGCTCCTGCTGAGCCCCCTGAAGCACCGCTCTGCTTTCTGGCCTGCCCCTTCCTCCCCAACTTTGCCCTTCCCCTCCACCCTCCTCCCCAGCCGTGGGCTCCTGCTCTTCCAGGGTATGCAGGGACTGCAGTTGTGTCCCCTCAGCCTTGTTCTCCGTGACTGGAGCCCCTGAGCTGTTCTAGTGCTGCCCCCACCCAATCCCTGGGGTCAGCTCTGCCCCTGCCCAGCCTGGCAGCCCTCGGGCACCTGCTCCCTGGGCTGTGACCATGACCATGACCAGGTCCTGGATCTGTGTGTTTCAGGGTCTCACACTCTCCAGCTCATGTACTGCTGTGGGACACGCTGCCCCTGTCCCTGCCCAGGTCAGGTCTCCCAGCTGGGCAGCGTCCACGTGCCTGGGCGCGTGACTCTGAACCAGAGATCAGCTGTATGGGACCCCGTTCCTGCAGCCCCGAGCCCAGCGCAGCCGGGTCTCCCATCCCCTGTGCTCCCACCCCAACGCCGTCAGCTCCTGCCTGAAATGGGTGCTGGAGCCAGTTTGTGTGGCCAAGTGCGGGGCCAAGCCTGGCCTCCTGGCAGGGGTGCTGAGGACCCAGTAGGAATGGTCCCTTTAACAGGTGTCTCCTCCCTCCCAGGGTGTCCTGTGGCACAGGTGAGCCACAGGCCTTCATCCCAGGGTGGACTCACCATCCTGTCCTGCCGGGTCCATGGCTTCTACCCCAGGGACGTGGCTGTTGTGTAGCTGGAAAGCAGGGAGGCACAGCCTCAGGAGACGAGCTGCTCGGGGGTCCTTCCCAGTGGAGACGGGACCTACCTCACCAGGGGCACCATCAAGATCGACTCGAGCAGCAATGGAGCACGTGAGCCTGGGTGCAGCCCTGAGAGTGGCCTGGGACAAGGGCAGGACGGGTGAGTGACCCCCGCGCACACGGGAGGGAGAAGAAACATGGTGCTCGGGGAGCGAGGGGCTGTCTGAGCCCACTGAGCGGGGAAAGAACTGGGGGTCGGAGGATGCAGGGGGCACTGATGGGGAGGGGGCACTGGGCCCATGCAATGTTAGGGGCAAGTTTGGGGGTTCCTCTTGCTCACAGGCCCCTTCCCTCTTCCAGAGTCCGACCTGATGCCGACTGTCATCGTGCTGGTCATGCTGGTCACGGCCACGACAGTCACAGCTGTTACCTTCTGCAGTAAGTGCCGGACAAAGCCCTCAGGGCCAGGCCATGCCCAGGTCTGGGGTCAAGGCGGGGGTAGGGAGGGCTCATCACCGCTGAAGGGAAGGAGGGAGGGCTCAGCACGGCCGTGCCTGGGACCTGGGGGGACAGGGCTCTGGGCTTCCCAGTCCACACACCCCTGGGGTGGCAGCAAACAGACCCCAGCCCAGCACTGTGAGGCTGCCTTGCTGGGGCCCTGAGGGTTGCTCTTGGCTCCACATGGACCATGCCCCACAGCCCATCCCCCTCCCCCGTGGGGGTGTCCTAGCCCCACGTCCCGGTCTGAGTCCCCGGCTCCGTGCTGTGCAGGCAGCTCCTTTCTGGGCTGACCCCAGGTCGGAGCCGTCCCGTTGTGGAAGTAGCTGCAGTCGCTGACCTGTCCCATCTCTCTGTAGTCAGACAGGCAGCTGAAGATAAAGTAGCACCTACATAGCCCCCTTCTACAGAGCAGTGCCTGGTGAGCGCGAAGCCCCTTCCTCTCTCCCCCACCCCGGTGCCGTGGGCTCTGTGCAGAGCTGCCCCTGGGCAGGCGGCATCACCCAGCCCCACGCTGCCTCCCCGCAGCTGCCGGGTGGTGCCGGGAGGCTGGGCCTCGCTCCTGTCTGGGGAGTCACAAGGGCACCCGTCAGCCTGGAGTCTGTGGGTCTTGTGGGCAGGGGTTGGTGCAGGGCATGGGGGACATTGGGCCGGGGGAACTGGTCCCTGTGCTCAGGGAGCTCTGACCTGTCTTCCTTCTCTCTCAGCCCATGACGCCCCGGACAGTGAATCCTCGGAGAGCTGCGGTGAGTGTCACTGTGATGGACCTGACTCAGGGGAGGGCACTGGGGCAGGGGTGGTGGATAAAGTGGGGGCTGTGGGCTGGTCCCAGGAAGCTGATCCAAGACAGGGCAGTCCTGCTGGGTCTCAGCTCCATGGGGTTTGAAGGGTGATGAACCAGGCTAGCGTCTTGTCGCTGGCAATGTCTGTACCCTCCATGCTCGGGTGTCAGCGCTGGCCCAGCCGGGAGCTCGGCGGCTCCTGGGGGTGGGGGGTCTCCTGCACTTTGTGCTTGGAGGCTGCTGTTAGCACATGGACCCCTGGCCTGGGGGGCTATCTCACCCCTGCCCCATCTCCTGTGCACTGGGGCAGGGCTGTTTCCTGGGCTGCCAGGTCTCGCCTCCCTGCTGTGGAGCTGGGAGGTCTGGCTGGGTGTGGGGCCATGGGGCTCTGGGCAATGCCACCTCCTCGGTGCGAGCCCTGGGCAAGGGACAGGGGCAGGGGCCAGCTCACAGGTGCAGCTACCAGCCTGGTGACCTGGCCAGCCCCTGGCAGCCAACGCCTCGTCCCCCGTCCTGCAGGACAGAGTGAGCGCAAAGAGCCTCCTGGCAGTGCTGGCAGCAGTTTGTGCCCACCTGGCTCTCCTGAGCCTGGGGTAGGAGGTGCAGGATGGGGCTGGAGGATCTCATGGGGCCAGAGACACCTAGCTAATGCCTGTCCTTCCGCTGTGCACAGGGAGCAATGTCTCCTTTGACACCTGCACCAAAAGACCCCTGGTCTGGGCGCACCTGGAGTGACAACAGTGGCCCCTGCGGATGTGCCCACTGGGCAGATGCTAGCTGGTAGCCACATGCTTGGCCAGCATGGATAGTGTGGGTAGGGAGCCAGAACCCACAGCGGGGCCCACAGTGCTCACCTGCCCACTGCCCACAGACTCTACCACTGTCTTCGTGGGCCAGTGCTTCATGGACAAGAGAGGGGAGGAATCGCTCCGCACGATATGGCTGCTGAGGGAGGAGGTCAACTCCGAGAAGGACGACTGGAAAACAACCAGGTGAGTGGGGCAGGCAGAGCCCTGGGGCTCGGTGGGGGATGAAGGGTCATCCCAGGCATCCCCGTGCCCTGTCCTGCAAGCCAGAGCTGCATGAGGAGGCATCAGGTCCTGCTGCTCTCTGGCGCCTTTGCCCGGCCACCCTCGGGGAGTGCCTGGCCAAGGGCCCCGTGGGTCTGTGGCTGTGCTGTGGTGGGTGCTGCCCCTGTGGTGCATGGCCCTGGGCTGGGCTGCTGGCACCCTGGGAGGCAAGCCTAGTGCATGGAGCTCCCCCAGGCAGCGGTCCTTAGCAGCAGTCAGCAGGGGCTAGGGACCAGGCCTCCCTGGGGGCTTCACTCCTGCGACAGCTGATGCTGCCTGCGTGTGCCATGCAGCATCAAGTGCGTGGCCCTGTCAGCTCTGTCCTCCTGATGGTGGGGTTCCCCACAGGACCAGCTCCAACATATTCACCCGCATTACATGAGGAAAGGAGCAGACCCCGGCAATGCGCCCCCCCCCATCCCCATGTGCACGTATCCCAGCCCCAGGCTCTTTCCTGTGCAGACTCCACCTTTGCCTGTACTGGGGGTGCAGACCCACCCCATACACCATCCCATCGGCCTGGGCTCTGCACTGGCTGCATTGCCTGGCTGCCAGGAGAGGAAGCTGTGGCAGAAATGCCCCGTCGGTGCCCCTCTCCAGAGATCTGTCTCAGCCAGCCTGAGAGGCTGCTGTTGAATCCCTCACAGCGGGGATCTCGCTCCTTGTCTGCAGACAAAAGCCTGGCGCCTGGGAGGCGATGCTCTGGTCACCTGGGCAGGGGGGGGAAAGACCCGGCCCTGCGC